ACTTTGTAGCGGTCGTGGGTGATGTCGTTGGCGGTGGCGTCCATCTTGGCGATGACCAGGCTCTTGTGGCCCTTGTACTTCTTGCCCAGGGCGGCGTAGACGGGCTCCAGCTGCTTGCAGTGCCCGCACCAGGGCGCGTAGAACTCGATGAGCACGTCCTTCGTGGGGTCCATGACGACGGCGTCGAAGGTCTTCCCCACCACGACCTTGACCGGCCCCTTGTTGTTCTTGGGCACGGGCTGGGATTTGATGACCGGCTTCAGTTTCCCTGCAAGTGGGCGGGGAGGGCGCGTGAGCGGGGACGGTGCCGCAGGCCCCGGGCTCTGACTGCCCAGGAGCAGCCTGCCCCAAAGCTCTCCGGCTCCCCACTCCTACTCCCCCAGCCCCTAGGAGCCAGAGGGTGCGTTCCCCGAAACCGAAGTCAGACCTAGACCACACCGGTCATCAACTCCCTGAGGTTCGTTTCCCAGCACCACAGAGCCTGGCGTGCACCTGCAGACGGCACGGCCTGGGCTGGCCAGCGGTGGCTGACGCCCCCAAGCCCAGCGGGCCTTCTAGAAGCACGCCAGCAAGGGACCCAAGTGAACGGGCAGCCCCCTCAGGCTGCATGAGACTAGGGGTCCAGCTCCAGGAACCCAGAAGGGCCGGTCACCCGAAAAAGCTCGCTGTCCACAGACCACTTCCTGACAACCCTCCAATCACACTGTCCTGGTCTCGCGCGCCCCCACCCCGCTCCCCGCTCCCCAGCTCCACGCGGCAGAAGCCCCTCCAGGTGGGGGGCGGAGCGGGCGGTCCCCCCGACTGCCGCCGCACCACCGCGCAGTCAGGCGAGCTCCTCTCCTGGAGGCGGCGTCGGAGAACCGGCTCGCGCACTGGCAGGGCCCCAGACGCTGCCCCGTGGGGCCGTCCCCAGACAGCCGCCGGGAGACCGCGGTGGGAGGAGCGCGGAGACCCCTGCGCTACGGGGCGGGGTGACGTGCTCATCCGCGGCAGACACATCCTCACCGCGGCCTCGGGCCTCGCTCACTGCACACAACACGCTTTCGATTTAACCCCGAAAGCCTGTTTTACCTTAACTGCTTTTAAAGTAAGGTGCCTGGAAATGTCCAGGACACCCATCTTTTCCTCCTATTTGAAAAGAAGGCAAAAGAGGGGGGCTCGCTGTGGCGCAGGGGTTAGTCTCAGCACTGGACGCTGTCCGCGGCCACCGCAGCTCAAGTTCGATCCCCGCCGGGAGGTGACCCCAGGGCGCGGCAGGCCTGTTCCCCGCTGCCCCTCTGTGGTGGGAGCCTGTTCTGCTCCCCACTCAGTCCCGGTGAATCCTCTCACCCACCACCACCCCGCGCCGCTGGCCTGCACCCCAGCTCTCGTGTGCGTACATGAATAAAATCTTTTAAAAAGGCGGCAGCCAAAGAACAGAGCCCGGTCTCCTCCAGCACAGGAGAGGAAACCCGACGCCAGGCCAGGCCAGGCCCCTCCGGAGGGCTGAAGCGGCTCCGGTACCGAGGCGCAGGCCGGCGGGCTGCGGGGTGCGGCGGCCACCGGGAGACTTGCCTTTCTTGAAGGCCGTGACAAACTGGCGGAGGACGTCCGAGTCGAACTCTTCGGGCTCCATGGCGAACTTGCGGCCGCCCTCGTCCAGGATGGCGGCGTTGACGTCCTCACCGCTCTCGCTCAGCCCCAGGTCCTTCACCTCCGAGGCGAAGTCGTCCTCGTCGGCCACAGCAAAGGTGTACTCAGGGAAGTCCTTGGCCACCTCCAGGACTTTGTTCCTCCAGAACTGAGTCGCTGCAACGGAGACCCCGGGCGTGAGCGCGACTGGGTCCTGTCGCTCAGGTTCCCTGACAAGCCCCGGCCCCGACTGCCTCAACCCGACAAGTGTTTCTGAAGAAGCCGCGTCTGGGAGCAGGTGGGCCGCGGTGTGCAGGCCACGGCGCCCGTGAGGCCTCTGCCCGGGGACAGGGCCTGCTGCCTGGGGCCCGGGCCGGGCGAGAGCAGCTCCGCAGCCTCTGGGCCCGCTCTCAGCCTGAGTGGACTGGCTCTGAGCAGCCCCCACAAAACACGGGAGGCAGGTGGGTAGCCACGTGGGCAGCACAGAAGGAAAAGGAGCCCGGTGCCACCGCCAACACCCGCCGCCAAGCCGCGGACCCGGGCGGACTCCTCGGTGCCCAGCCGGGACCCTCACCCGCGCGGTAATCGAAGCTGAAGTCCACGCTGTAGTACACCACCACCAGGGGGCGCCTGGAGTACCGCTTGGCGTCGTTGGCCGTCCGGCGGTGACCCACCAGGGGCAGCGCGTGCTTCAGCACGTAGTCCTTGATGGCCGAGCCCTCCGTGGAGCCCTGCTGCGAAGTGGGGACTGGTGAGGGACAGGCCTCAAAACGTGTCCCGCCTGTTGCTGTCAATGACATCTCTGAAGATGAAATGTACTGGGCTGCCCCCACCCAAGCACACCCCAGGATCTCCCTGCTGTCTTCAGGGGCTCCTTTCCTCCCAGTTAACTTTTAAGTGAGCTCGGCAGGCCACCGCGGTCTGAGCTCAGTTAGAAACGGGAGGCGGAGGCGCGGTCCAGAGGCAGCAGCTGTTAAGGGCTACAGAGGCCCTCCAGGCACACTGGGGACGCGCCCAGGCCAGGGAGGAAGGCCTGGCTGCACAAGGCCGGCGCGCAGTCCCACGTGCCTGAGAAGTGCCCACTCCCACCACCAAAGCATAGGGGTCAGGCGAGCCCGGCGCCAGGCTGCCCGGCCCAAAGGGCCCCCACCCCTGGGAGGCAGGCTGTCCGGCCGGGGGCAGGGCAAGGTGGGCTCACGGGGTGGCTTTCCAGGGGAGATGATGAACCCAACTCTGCTATTTTAAGCGGCACCTGGGACTGGCAGGGTGCCCTGTCCTGAGGGGACAGAGAGCTCAGGTGTCCGCAGAGGGACGCGCACTGTCCTGAGGCAGAATGCAGTCTCGCACATGCAAGGAAGCAGGCCGCGAGGCCAATGTGCTACCCCGAGGCCACAGAGCTGGAAGAGGTGGGTGAGCCCCAGGCTCAAGTCCCGGCCGGCTGGGACAGGCGGCCAGTGGCGTGTGTGGCACTCAAGGGTGGGCAGGACTTGCCAGAAGGAGGGAACCACTCAGCGGCTTCTCCAGTGACCACAGACCAGGTGTCACTCAAGCCCTTGGCTTGAGCCACCTGTCGGTGGACGGGGCTAAGCACTGACCAGAGCACACACCCGTCCAGAGCAAGGCCGGTACCCGCACAGGCAGCCCCCATGGAGGGGCTGAGGGGCTGCAGGTCTGCCGGGAGGCACGAAGGGGGAGAAACTTCTTAGGCTAAAGCAGGTGGCAGGCCCTCCCTGGTGGTGCAACAGGTTAGAGCGCAGCACTGTGAGTCTGTCTGAGCTGCTGCAGCACCAGTTCGATCCACATGGCATAAAGACCTCTCCTGACTCCCGCGTCCCCCTCAGCAGTGTATTTGGGTGGATCTGCCTCTTCTGCTCCCCACCTTGTCTCTGGTGAGTCCTCTCACCCCCATACTCTGTACCCCAGCTCTTGTGTGCATAAATAAAAAAAAAAGCAGGTGCAGCTCTACAGGGCCTTGGCCCAGTCCTGCACGCCGGCCCGAGCGCAAGCCGCCCTCTGGGCTGGGCTCCCTCCTGGGCCTGCCAGGAATCTCTGCCTTTGCGGGGGAGGAGGCACCCAGACCCCCCACGGGGAACCAACCTCCACACTTCAATACCCCAGCGGCAGTGGGCGGCGCTCTCACCCACCTGGATGTCCATCACCCGGCTCTTGGGCTCATATTTGGACCGGAACTTCTCAGGCTGCATCATGACCAACTTGCCAGTGGAGACTTTCAAGAACTTGGCTATTTCTGTGCTGAAAGTGTGCTGGAACCTGTAATCTTCTCTCAAGTTGTTAGCTGAGAAATGACAAGAAAAAAGGTCAATGATTAAAAGGCCTCAGTGGCCGAGATCTGTTCACCACCCACATTGGCCAAGCAAAGGCCCTGAAAAATGGTGACCGCCGGGTCGCGGACAGATGACCCGCCGACACTTGAAAGGGGGTTTGCGCTAAGAAACCCAGGACAGGTCCAAGTTACAGCCTGAAACACTGTCCCATGGGACTCGCAAGGACAAAAACCTTCAAGAAAACCCGAGAGCTGACTTCGCAGGCATGACAGCCAGCCGCCAGCTCCTGGGCTAAGCAAAGTGTTTCTGGGAATCTGTGCAACCTCAAGGTGAAGCCCCACTGCTGAGGCTACTGAAGAAAGGGGCTGGCAGGCTTGCCTGGACAGGACCAGACGGAACTGAGACGGTGCACCACCCAGCCAGAACCCCCAGGCCAGGGCGCCTGCCCCGGCAGGAGCCAGGCTGGGCAGACCGTGGACACCGGCGGGGGCAAAGAACACGGCCGGCTCGTCGGGAATTCGCTCCCAAGACCGGCAAGGCGGTGCTTGCTGGGCACTCCACACTTGCAGGTGCTTTACCAACTCCGCCTGCTGTGCCTCCACACACCCCTGAAGCAGCAAAGCTCACCCGGTGGGCAGGACACATGGGCTGAGACGGCACCACCGTGGCCCCGGCCCCGGCCCCAGCAGGCCAGGCCTCGATCGGGTCTGACTCAGAAACCCTCCCTCTGGTCAGGCTCCCTGCAGAGGCCCCCTGGGAAGGGCATGAGGGTCGGCGGGCCTGGATGAACCTGGCTCCCTGAGAGGCGATGAGGGGACAGGGGGAAACCAACCCACAGCCCCCACTTAGTGCATACGAGGTCGCGTCATCCCTGTGCTCTAGAGGCGACCCCGTACCCGAGGGAAGCTTGCCCCACGGAGGCGGTCTCCATTCGCCATCAAGCCACCCAAAGCCCCACAGAAGCAGCAGATGTCGAGCACCACAGGTGGCCCCACCCACCGGCTTCCTGGTACAGCTGGTAGGCTGGGTCGCTCTCCCCCTGGAAGACCCCGACGATGAGGACGTCGTCCCCGTCCTTCAGGAGGTCCTGCGCCTGCTTCAGGGTGGGAATCTCCTTGGAAGGCGGCCCGGACTGCTCGATCATGTAGTCCACAATCCCTGGGGGCAGAGGGGGGCCTGAGGAGGGGCTGGGAGCCGGGGCACTCCCCCCAGCCAGGAGCCCCGCCTGGCCGCCCACCAGCCGGGCGAGGCAGGGCGCAGCCTACCGTACTTCTCCCGCGGGCCGTTGTAATCGAAAGGCTTGCCCTTGCGGAAGATCTTCAGGGTGGGGTAGCCAGAGACGTCGAACTGCTTGGCCAGGTCGGTTTCTGTGGTGGCGTCCACCTTCGCCAGGGGGATGGGGGGCGAGCGCTTGCTCAGCTCCTTGGCCGCCTTCTCATACTCGGGGGCGAGCTTCTTGCAGTGTCCACACCTGTGGGAGGGCGCAGAGTGTGGAGGCAGCTGCAGGGTGGACGCACCCTCCCAGCCAGGTGGGAACCCCAGCCCGGGCTCGCTCTCGTTCACCGAGACCAGCGCCTGAACAGCACCCAGCGCTCTCGAATCAGCCAGCTGAGCCGTGAGCAGCCCGCGGCCCCGCTCCAGGGCTGTGTTTCGCTCACCTACCCCTGAAGTGCGGAAGGAGCAGCCCTCTCCACACAGAAGGCCCTGCACCACCTGGGCGGCCCAGGCCCAGGCCACACCGAGTCACGCGACCCGCAACTCACCACGGGGCGTAGAACTCCACCAGAATGATGTCCGCGTTGCTGACCACTTCATCGAAGTTGTCTTTGGTCAGCACAAGCGTGACTTCCGGGGGAGGGGTCCAGTCAGGCTGGGAGACTTCTTTGACCTTGGCAACAATTTCTGAAAGAAACCGAGAGACTGAGTGCCGGCAGGCCCCATGCCACGGCGCGTCACCGGCTCCGGGGACAGGGAAGGTGGTGGGCACATACATGTGGGACCTCCTGGAAGCCAGGCGCACCTCCCCAGAGCTTCATGGACAGTCAGCGCCATGCAGGCCTGAGGCCCAGGGTGCCGGCGGCCGTGACCAGCCCGGGATGAGACCCGCCCTCACCCCCTGGGACGCCACCCGCAGCGACCCCGAGAGACATGTCCTCGACATGCAGCCCCGGGCAGAACATGGGAGCAGCAGACAGGGGAGCCGCAGCTTCGGTGCTCGGGCACAGGCGCCGTCCCCAGGAACGGCACCCCCTGCCCCCAGATGACCCAACAGCAGGGCACACGTGTTCTCGCGAGGCATTTTGCCGGGCTCCTCAGGAGCAGAGCGCAAACTCGGCGGTGCTCCCTGCCGGGCCAGGGCTGCAGCCTGCGGAGCCGGTGCCGCGCCCCGCGCCGCTGGTCAGGGACCCGGGGAGGCCCAGACAGGCGTGTGAAAGTAGGGTCCCGGGCTGACTGTGCTCGTGCCCCCAGCCGGGCTCAGAGGATCGCGGCAGACGCACACCACGCGCAAGAGCGCTCAGCTGGGGCAAGGCCGAGGCTCCCCAGGAAGGCGCCCCCAGACCAGGGCTGCCTGCAACGGACCCGGTGGGGACCCGGCACGGCCACCGCCCCACGCAGGAATGGAGATGGCAGCGTGTGGCAATTTTTTAGTGGCTAAAAGAGAAACGACCTGCCAAAGCACGGCCCAGGGCACCTGTTCACTTAAGACCACGTACTTGGCCCCTGTCCTGAGTCACGGAGGGCCCGCCGGGCCCCCCAGGCCCCTCGTGCTTCTCCATGGGGGGCTGTGGGCCGCGTGGACCACGCCCTCGGCAAGCCCTGGGCCCTCCAAAGAAAAGAAATGCAGGTCATTGAGCTTGACCTGAAACAGGAAACCGGGAGCCCGTCAGGAGACGCTGGTGCCGGCTGGCCTAAGGACTGCTCCGGGGCCCGGCCAGCGCCTGGCCTCACGTCACTCCTAGCACAGCTGCCCAGGTCCTGCGTTTGCGGTCTCCGGGGAAGCGACCCACCCCTGTTCAAGGACAAGCCCCCGTGACCCTGAACGTGCTGGCCGGGAGCGCTCCTGGCCCTGACCGGCTGGTCTTGCTCCCCACCACCCTCACGCCCTCACCCCCGGGGGAGCCCGCACCAGCCGCCGGGCACAAGAGCCGCTCACCTTCCTGGGTCCTGGAGCCGTCGTAGTCGACAGCCTGCCCCTTCTTAAGGATCTTGATGGTGGGGTAACCGCTCACGTCAAACCTGCTGGCCAGGCCCGACTCGGCAGTCGCGTCGATCTTGGCGACAGGGATGGGGGGGTCGTTCTCCTTCAAGGTACTGGCGATCTTCTCGTATTCTGGCGCAAACTGCTTGCAATGTCCACACCTGAGGGTCGATCAAGGGAGGAAGACCCAGGTCAACTTGCGCCAAGCGGTGCACAGTGAATGCAGCCCAGTAGGGCTGCGTCAGGGCCAGAAACACCGGCCGCACTCGGGGCGGGAGAGCCAGGGCGCCTGCAGCCGCACGGCCCGGCTCGAGCCCCAGCTCGGGGTTCAGTTCGCAGAGCCCCAGGGTTTTCTAAGCTTCTCCAAGATTGGCCAGAGAAACCTCCAGAGAAACCTGTGAGGTTGAGGTCACGTATGGAAACACTGGCTGCCTCAGCCCCTCAGCGCCAACAGGGCCGGCCAGTCATCACAGCTGATGCCGCCGTGGCCCGGGCTCAGCGTGGCGGCCGCTGCTGCTCTACAGTGAGCTATAAAGAGAGGACTTTCAGGGAAATCTTTTGCTCAAGTACTTTAATAGATCGACAAAGCCCACTGCTGCGGAAGCAGGGGGGAGACAAGAGGGGCCCGCTGCGCCCTGGAGGTCCCTCCCTGGCCGGGGATAACTCAGGCCGCAGGAGTGACAGCCGGAGACTGAACCCTCAGGCTACCAGGAGGCCACAACCCTTTTTTTTTTTTATGTTCCTCAGCTTCAATTTCTACCGTGGTAAATACTGCTAAATATGAGCTATCCAACACCCAGCTGAGGCCTCAATTTTTTAAGCTTTCATGGGTCCCTACACCAAAAAGCCTGAGAACTGTGGCCCTATAAAGAAGGGGCTATGGCCTCGCAAGACAAACCTGTACAGACTCTCTAGGTGTCTCTACAGGAGCCCCCGGCTGCACCTGGACAGAACCTGGTCAGCGACGTAAGTGGACCTGACTCTGGAGCAGAGGCGGGGTCACGGGACCAAACACCCACAGCGGGCGAGGAGGGCTGCAGGAGCCCGGGCCCTGCACCAGCAGGGTGAGAGCCAGGCGTGGGTGCCTGGCTCCGTCCCGGGTGCCGCACCTGTCTCCCAGGGTCTCTCCCCTCGGACGCAGGGGCAGGCTCGGGGGCTTGGGGGGCTGGAGGGTTACCAGGGAGCGTAGAACTCCAGCAGCACCGTGTCCTTGTCAGCCACAAAGTCGTCAAAGTTCGCGTCCTTTAGGACGAAGACGCCGTTCTCTTCCTTAACTTCCAAGTCCTCGTCCTCGTCCTCGTCATCCTCCTCGTCCTCGTCGTCCTCGTCCTCCACTGCATCCTCCCTGTGGGCATCTGGGCGGAGAGGCCCCAGGCTGGTCAGAAACCAGACTCGCCGCCCTGGGACTCTCCCGGAAGCCCAACCCTCAAGCGCGCCGTGACCCCCGAGAGGACCCAGCCAGCGCCGAGCTCACGCGGCCGAGACTGGGCTGGCGTGCAGGCCAGGTGCGGCCACTGCCCCAGTTAGGGGTGTCTGGAAACCCCAGGTCTAGGATGTAAAGCAAGGATGCCGCAGCGGCGGGGCGGCGGGACCAGGCGGCTCTGAACGCCCTGCTCTCCTCGGCCCCCACCAGCAGCCCCCACCTACCCGGCCTCCCGCCCAGTCTTGTCAGGCCTCGCGCTGATCCAAGGCTTCCTGGGCCCCAGCTGCGCGGGCACCCCACCTCCGCGGGCACCCCACCTCCGCGCCCCAGGGCAAGGGGAGCTTCCCGGCTGGGGAATTCCCGTCGGAGTCTGACTTAAGCCTCCGGAAGGCACCTCCAAGGGGCGGGGTGACCCCTTGAAGGTTAGGGATTTCCTGGGACAACTCCCACCAGCCACGCAGACAACGCCCCGGCAGGGAGCGGCGGCCGGAGCAGCTCACAAGGCTCAGCGCGTCTGGCGCGATCCGAGTCACAGCCAGAGGACGGGGCTCCGCAGCACGCCAGCGAGCACCCCTGCCTCTGGGGCCGGCCGTTCTGGGAGGCCCGAGGCCTGCTCTCCGACACTGCAGGGGCAGAGCAGCACGGGGAACTACTGCCTCAGGAGTTACTCCTGGAGGGAGCCCAACACTGGCTGAAAGTCAGGGAAGCTGGGTACTGCCGCACCCCTGCCGCGCCCCCAAAGCAAACTGAAACCCTTGTTTGCTCGGGCAAGTTCCCTCCTCTGCCCACCCTCCCCTTGTGCTGGGCCACAGGCTCTCCCAGCCCAGTCCCCCACCTGCACCTCCACGGCAGAATTCTGGGAGGTGGAGAGATCTGCAGGGGTCTCAGGCCCCCACACTGCACATTTTGAGGAGTGAGTATTAAGAACCAAGCTCCCCGGTGGAGCAGCGGGTTGAAGCGCAGCCAAAGTGACTGCAGCATGAGTTCGATCCCCGCCCACAGGTGACCCACAGGGCGCGGCAGACCTCTCCTGACCCACCCGCTGCTCCCCTCAGCAATGTGCTTCATCAGTCAGCCTGTTCTGCTCCCCACTCTGTCTCTGGTGAATCCTCTCACCGCCCCTGCACCTCTGGCATGTATCCCAGTTCTGTGTGCAGAAATGAATAAATCTTAAAAAAAAAAAAAAGAACCAGGCTCCCCCATCACTGCTACAGTCTGAGTTCGATCCCCAGCCAGGGAGACACCATCTGTCTCCCCACTTCTCCCCCAGCAGTGGGTTTCAGTCCATCTGCTTGTTCTGCTCCCCAGTGTCTCTGGTGAATCCTCTACCCCCTGAACCTCTGGTCTGTACCCCAGATCTTCTACAGAAGAAAACATAAGAACTGCTCCCTGGACGTGGAGAGCCCAGACTCCCGGAAGACCAGCGGCCCCAAGCCCTGTCCACCTTCAGACCCCAGGTTTCCCAATACGGGCGTGTCCAGAAGCCCCCCAGGTCCTTGTGCATGAGGGCCTTATGTTCTCGGGGAGCCTCAACTTAACACTGCTGGCTGGGGGTTTGGTTGCCTCCAGGAAGTGTCTGCCCCAACCTGCCGGGCCAGTAGTGCGCTCACCTCAGCGGCCTGCAGGCTCCAGCCAGGCGCTGTCAAGAGGCTGCAAGCCTGGAGTGGGGGTCCTACAGATTCTCTGCTCCAGTGACAGGGAGCAAAGCGGGGACTGGAGGCTGCACAGGCCTGCCTGGCTCGGGCCGGGCCCACCCACTCTGCCTCACAGGTGAAGCAGCTTCTCGAAGGGCAGGGTGGAGGGGGGGAGAAAGCCTGGGTAGTTAACCGGCTCTTGGCCAGACCACTGCTGCAGGACTCAGCAACTACCCCCCAGGGAGAAGGCGACTCACAAAGCAGACACCAGGATGCCTTGCAGGGATGCAGGGATGTCTGGGATGCGAAGCAAGTACCGGGGAACTCATTTAACTCATTTCTTGATACTTTTTTTCCTTTTTTATATTTTTTTAAACATTAAACAAGATAACTTTTGTCATTTTTTAAAGGCAGCAAGCAAAGGACAGGACCTAACCACGGTCTCTAGCTGCATCTAGGCAGGACCGTGCTCCATTCCCCCAGAACGCAGACAACCCCAGACTGAGTCGGTCTGCTGGGTTTCTGGAGAAGGTGCCGGCTCTGTGTTCCTGTCTCCTAGCAACCCACACCCTGCAAGGCAAACACCCACTTCAAGGGGAGACCACTCTTCACTGGTTCACTCGGAAATCCAGTCTCCAGCACCTTCCAGAGGGCGCCCTCCTCCTCACCAATGTGGCCTCTCACACCATCTCCACATGGCTCAGCACAAGGGTAAGGCCACTCCGGAAGTGTGGGCCCCCTATGGCATCTGGGGACGAAAGAGGTGATCCCTGTCCTCTTCCACCTGCCGACAGCACTGCCCGGCCTGGACACGGCCGCACCCTCTGGATGTCCCCACCACGAGAAGAGCTGGCCAGACCAACTCCACCACTGGGCAGTAGCTACCGGCCTACACTAGACAGTGAGAGAAGCGTGTGATCGGCTATGACATCACGACGGCAGGCGTTCGTCCGTGCCAGGCCCCCTCCCCTCCCAGGAAACACTACACCCACTTTCCGATGGAGACAGAGGCACAGACAGCTTCGGGTCTCCGCCGGCGGGTCACCCAGCTGCCAGGGCAGGGGCAGGTCACTGACCCATCTGCTCTGCTACAGCGTCCCCTTTAGGTTTTCTTCCCAGCGCGCCCTACGCTGGAGGCAGAAATGCCTGGCGCCGACGACTCGGCAACGAAGACAGGAAGACAGCCGGCACTCTCTCAGCCTTGCGCAGTGAGCTTCCACCCTAAACCAGTCCCAAGTAACAGGCAGCCACAGAGAGTTTCAAAACATTCCCCTTCCCTCTCCCTGCGAAGATGGGGAGGGCCTGGCGATGTCCCGGGGACGCGGCACGGCACACGCTGGCAGGGGAGCTCAGACACCAGGGAACCGAGCTGGGGGCAGCGCAGCACTGTGCCACTTCACTACAACGCGGAAGGCCCAAAGGAGACAAACCAAAATGACTTGGAACATCTAGGGTGGAGGCCCTAGAAAGTGCAGACCCCCAAATCCACAGGACGGTCATCTGTGACAAGCGTCAGCAACGGGAGGTCCAGACGCCCCAGCCACCCAGAGAGCCCTGCGGCCACGACAACTCCGACTCCAGGTCTCTCCAGGGCTCCCCGGGCCCCACTGCCTGAGTGATCTGTGACCCAAACGAACCCTCACAAGCCTCTTGAGATTCACCCCCAAAACCAAATCACTGGATGAGAACCAAGACGCTATTTTGCTTTTCAACTGTTTCCAAAGGTACCCTCTGTTTCTACTGGACCCCACACTTGCACATGACTCCCCCCAAGTCTATTCTGCTTAAGGGTCGCTAATGAAAAAACTTGTTCTAAAATTCAGATTCCGGGCCCACCCTGGTGGTGCAACCGGTTTGAGCACAGCACTATGGAGCTGTCTGCAGCCACTGCAGCATGACTTCCATTCCCGGCCAGGGAGGGACCACAGGGCACAGCAGACCCCTCCTGTCTCCGGGCTGCTCCCCTCAGCAGTGTGCTTCAGTACATCAGCTGTTCTGCTCCCCACCTATTGCTGGTGAATCCTCTCACCCCCTATACCTCTCACCTGTACTCCAATACTGTACAAATAAATAAATCTTTAAAAGTAAGTAAGTAAAATAAAATTCGGATTGTGCAGCCCACCCCTGCATTCTGCTTCAGTATATTCATGGGACTTTACTTCAATAGACATTAGGTGATTTGGACAGAGGTCCCGAGGCGGACCTAGGCACCAAGGCGCTCTCACTGCTGCAGGTGCGCGCTGAGCTTCCTTTTCTATTTGGAGACTCCGACCAGTGATGTGCACAGGTGTTACTCAATCTGTTTGAAAGTATAAAGTTCACACTTCCCCTACCCACTAATATTAGAAAAGAAAGGGGGCGGGTATTTATATTAGGACAAACTAGGAAAAAAACCAGCCACCCTCCGGTCCCCACCCCCCCCAAAAAAAGGCCAATTAGGAAGACAGCGAGGGCCAGCAGGCTGCCCTGTTGGCCAGGAACAGCTTTCAGTCCTTGGCTAGTTCCCTGTCACGGTCGGTCCCTCGGGCCACTTTTCGGCCACTTTTCGGCCACTTTTCGGCTAGCTGGTTTCACACAAAGTGCGGCTGCTCAATATTCCACCAGAGCGCGCGGAGGATGGGAGGGCCCCGCCGGCCCCGCACACACCAGCGGCCCAAACCGTCCTCTCCGGTTGCTGGAAGGTGAGGCCAAGCCATCCCTCCTTCCTCAGACCTCGGCGGTGTTTCTTCCCAAAGCTGCAGCCTGCATTTTCCAGAAACTACCCACGGCCCCGGCCAGCGCGTCCTGGGGTCTCCACGCCCTCGCCCCACTACGAGACCAGTTCAGAAGACAGC